ATGGCCATGATTTTGGAATGAGATGTTCGACGAGCATGTGTCCACATACTTTTTTTTTGTTGGGAATGTGTTATTCAATGTATTTCTCTGGTTTATAGTAGAAAAGGCCAAAGCCCCCAGAGTATTGTCTCTAGGCTAGATTAGACAGAGAGGAGAGTAGTTTACCAGATGGTCTGGCGATGGTCTGAGAGATCCTGGGATAAATGTAATAAAACTACAAACAAAACACACACACACACACAGAGTTTAGATGTTTCTGACAGGTGCCTCTGCCTCAACCCCCTCTTTCTTTCACTCCTTCTCAATCTTTCTCATTTAGCCCACACTCCTTCCATAGGAATGTAACGTTGATGTTCTTCCTCCCACCCTCTAGTCCAGTGGGTTGCCAGATCAGGCTCCCTCTAGTTCAGTGAGTTGCCAGATCATGCTCCTTCTCCTCCTACAGCTGCAGGGGCAGTATCCAGAGCAAATGCCCTAGGTCCAGAGCCTGGGGCTCAATTACCTTGCTACCCCCGGAGGGGGAGCAGGAGGGGCAGGGAGAGGACAGATAGAGAACAACCCACTGACAGCACTCAGTCAAAGTAGTATTCTATATGGTATTTGTGCTTGGTTGTAGCTCTGTCAGTGCAGTCTTAGATATATATACTGTATATAGCGAGCGAGAGAGAGAAAGTTACAGAGAGAGAGAGAGAGAGTGTGTACAGCAGTTAGAATATGACACATTCCTTTAGTTAACTGTGGAATGAGAGAAATACTGTACGTTAGGGAGAGCCACGGTGCTCCAGTATAATTCGCTCAGCAGATGTGTGTGCATGTTTGTGTGTGTGGGAAGGTATGAGTGTGTAAGGGTAGGTTGCACAATCGATTTGCTTCAGACTCCAAATCCAAACGGGAATCTCCTTTACACATTTGTCCAGCTGTTTGAGTTGGAGAGAGACAGAGAGGTGGGGGACCAAGTGTATGTCTAGTGTAGTGTATTTCTAAAGAATGTAAGTGTATTCCAAAAGTATTTGCAGTGTTTAAGATTAGTATGCAGAAAGGAAGCTCACTGGAAACTTTAGAAGCTACAGAGAAAAAGCGACAAAGTTTGTTAGTTTTTTTAAACTACCAGTTTAATAATGTGCTTTTGTTTTTCAGTACAAAGAGTTATTTATTGTTTATACCAGCTTTTAAAAAGTTAAACATCAACAACACACTTTTTAATTATCAGATTCACACAGTTTATGTTTTAAAGAAACCAAGGCAGAGACAGATATGAGTAGAGAGGTTAACAGTACAGGACTGGTCAGTTAATACAAAGAGTAGATTAATATACAGTACTACAGAGTTAATAATCATTCTTTACATAGAGAAGGCACAGAAGGTAAGCAACACTGAGATTAACTTGACAGACAATAACTTTCCAGAATATGTCAAGGTTTCCAGTATATCAGGACTTTAAAAACTCTCCGGACACTTGGTGAATGGCACGTTGGTTGGAGGCAAAGTTTTTTCTTAAGCTGAATCAGATCAATCTCCATAGTAAGGCATACTGTTCTTATCAGAAAACATCATTTAATGTTATTTCTCACATACAAAATATAATATAAAAATACATTATAAACAGATGTTTTGTCTTGAATGAGTAAGAACAACCGCTTGGCAAGAGGAGAGTTAGGAGCTCAGGTATGTAACACACACACACATCTAATAACACAACACTATACAATAGGGTGTGTTCTCTAGGCAGACACACAAGTATACACATCACTCCCCCAAAGAAAATAAACACACAAAATTAACACTGTTCTGAGGAGGTCCTACTATACTAACGGAAGAAACTGACCCTTTTTGGCACTTTCCTCTAAATCCAAAATACATATGTAGGCTTATGGTAAACCACAACATTGAGTTGGTTTCTGTATAATACACCACATCTCTTTAACTTTGTTGAGACATAAAAAAGATGGTGTGAGGTTATTTCTCTTTCATGGAGAATATAAACTCATCATAGAAAGGCTGCTCTGGTCTGTAACATATCTCTCTATTGGAATAAATAAAGGCACTTTGTTCTCCAGATTCATTTAATACTGTATTGGTAAAGCAAACCTTATGGTTGAGACTCTTCACTCTGTAGCACCTGGAGAAGTGTGATCTTACCCATTAGATAGCCTCAGGTCACTGGAGAAAGGCAGGCATGGTGTAACAGTCTTAGAGAGGACATCATGTGAAACTGGTGTGACCTATTAAACCAGATCTGAGTAACTTTTTGTGTGACACTAACCTAACGTAGCAGGCGTAAAAGAAACCCCTTAGTGGGTCGGCAGAAACCGTAAGCATTCGTTTTTTAGGCTTTGCCTCTTCTCTGCTTTCCCCCTGAAAACCAGATGCTTCCGGTTTCTCTAGACCCCCGCTGAGGGTTTGAGAACAGGGACAGTCAGACTGGCTTAGTGGGCATGGATAAGTTATGATCATACATATAACTGTTATTATTATTTAATTATTATAATATTATAGCTTCAAATCGACTCAATGCAGGGCAAGGTATAGAGACAGGTTATCTGACCAGTGCAGAGCGCATGGCTAGGGGTTTGGTTGGGGGGTTGTGATTGGGTGGTTTTGATGTAGTGGTTCCTATAGAAGGGGCACATGGCTTGATAGTGTGGTGTTTGGGTGGGCGTGGCTGGTGACTGGATCCTGATTGGGTCCTGAAGGGTCATTACCATGGCCGCTGGTCTCTGGTTGGTTTGGCAGAGGTGACTCCAGGGGGAGGGGCGTGGCTGCTGTCCAGATCATGGCAACGAGCAAGCCACGGGCGGAGACGGGCGGGTCATCAGTGGGTACAGAGGTCAGGGGTTAGTTGCTGTGGCAGCTGGGGGGGTTAGGAGACAGACGGACAGACACAAAGAAATTAAGAAAGAAAAAAAAGACACATAGAAAAAGATAGAAAGAGATTAGTGTCAGCTAGTGGTGTCAGGATGACAACATGAAAGATTTAATGCATACATAACACCTTCATAAGCACTACATAGGCATTTATAAGTCAATATCTGCAAGTTGACATAAGGTCTGGCATATGCAGTAAGTGACACAATGTGAGATGCCAACCAGCGACTGCTGACATAGGCAGTTATGAATGCTTATGTATTGTTAATGAAGGCATTATAAAGGTGCCCTTTGTAGAACGTGTGAGCACTGCTACAGTGAGGCTAGCTGCACTACAGACAGAGAAACCATGGAGACAGCATAGGGTATGGTTTCGTGTGAGGGTGTGAGAGTGTCACTGACATCTAAAGCTGTTCTGACTAACACAGTGTTTCTCAACCCAGTCTATGGGGGCCACCAGTAGTTTCACATAATCTAGTCAACTAATCATCAATCCCTTGATGGACTAGATCAGGCATGTAAACGGCTGGTGGGTCCTGAGGGTTGGGTTAAACACAGTTTAATGGTTAGCAGCAGTCACTGTGTATGTTATGGTATCTTGACAGAAAAGACCAAATGCAATGATGACCAATTAATTGATTAAAAATGATCTGGTATGGTTTCCAGACTGCTGTTAAGCATTAGAGATGTAATCTGCTAGAGAAGCAAAGAGGCCTGCAGTTACAGAGAGCCATGAGATGTTAAGAGATGTGGTTTTAGAAGGAATTAATTAAGAACAGATATTTTTTACAGATATTTTCTAATAATAATAACTTTCAGGCATTTGTTTTTGTAGTTTTTTGTCTGTTTTTTAATCTCAAACGTTGGTTCTCTACGTACACCAGTTAAACTAGGGCTGATACACAGCTTGCCTAGGGCAATTGTACTGTATGATAGTGACACCAAGAAAACACTAACATCACTTCAACATATAAAGTCGTACCGAAACAAACCCTAGAATGTTTGCAAAATAAATAAAAATGTCTGTAGTGTAAACTCTAAAGAAAACATCCCCAAGAATGCAATAACACGTCCTGCTCATAACTTAAAATTATATTCATAATTTTTACAATCACACAAAAAGTAAATTCTATTTACTTTTGCAAGCACATAAGCAACAACTACAGGTCTAAAAACAATAGGCTAAGCATAATGATATGACAATGGAATGTCTATCTAAATGATATCTCATGTAAACCCATCCCTACCCCATGAAGGTCCAGTAATGCTTACTTTACACACAAGATCTCATAATGCAGATTTCAGTAGTATCTGGTCATATACTGTATAAGGTCGTATGGATAATGGTTATAAGGAGGCTGTTTCAGCTTCAAGTACTGTCTGTCTCTGATCCATAAGGTACAAAACAATCATTATAAAACCATATCAATAAATAAAAGAGTAGATCAAAAAGTACTGTTTACTTTTACAAAATAAAATCAAAGGAATGGTGTAATTTAAGACGGTATAAAAGAGATGACCCTGCTTGTCTCTTAGGTTGAACAGTAGTGAAACAACCGGGAAAGAGAGAAGGGGTGGGGGAGAGAGAGAGGGAGAGGGAGATAAAGAGGGGGAGAGAGATAGAGAGAGAGACAGAGAGAGCGAGAGATAAATAGTATTTGAACAGAGCTCTCAGAACTCTAAATCAAGAGAGTCACAAGGTCACAGTCACATGGAGGAACGGTCCATTCTAAAAGCAGGGGACAACCTCACATGCCTTCATCTATCTGACAGAGGGGCTATGAGCACCCTGGAATATTCACCCCTGGAACGGACTCATCCATTCCTATCACTACCCTCTCTCTGCTCTCTGACAGACTGTTGTTTTACTTTTACACACAGCTCACTGTTTGACCTTCCCCTCACATTCTGGTCTCATACCCCTCTTAGCAGGTGGCACACATAGGTCAGCTAACACACACACACACACACACACTGGCGCACACACACGTGCGCGCACACACACACACAGAATCACTCACACATGCGTATTCCCACTCACACTCACTCTGTCTGGTGATCTAACTGACCTCTGTCGGTGTTCACTACTCTTTGGTAAGGATGGACCCTCATATTGTGGCGTTGCACCTTAGCCGTCATCGCTCCTGCTCACCACGCAACCACATCGTCAAAACACCAAAACACAGGGGTTAACAGTGACATCATCAAACAGTTACAGAAACATTAAGAAGACAGTCAAGAGGCCCATCTCAGATAAATGTATGTGTGTGTGTGTGTGTGTGTGTGTGTGTGTGTGTGTGTGTGTGTGTGTGTGTGTGTGTGTGTGTGTGTGTGTGGTGTGTGGTGTGTGGTGTGTGTGGTGTGTGGTGTGTGTGTGTGTGTGTCTGAGGTCCATGTGTAGGAGGGAGTTTATCTCTCAGCCTTTGGTTTGGAAAGCCATACCTGGAGACAGAGAGAGAAATACAACCAGGTTACAACACAACACAACCCTCATTCCCAAATTAACTTGATCTGTGTGTGTGTGTGTTTACCTAATACTCCACTAGTGTCCATGGGGTATTCTAGTATAGATGGGGTTAGGGTGTAGGGGGAATATTCGTAGGGAGTGTAGAAGAATCCTCCTGATTCAGGTGATTGCTGCATCAGTCCTGCATGCTGATTGGCTCCTTGCATGAGGGCCTGCTGACTCTGGATCTGACGAATCAGGTGAGGCATTAGGTTGGGCTGTTGAACAGGGGCGGGGTTTCTCATAGCCTGCTGCATAACAGGGGAGGGACTGGAGATGAGCCGATGCTGCTGAGAGGAGGCTAGGGAGAAAGCCATAGTGGCTACACACATGCACGCACCCACCCACACATACACATACACATACACATACAGATACACGCACACACACACACACACACACACACATACACACACACACACATGCACACACAGAGAGAGAGCGAAAAAAACAAATAAGAAAATCATTACTAGTTGGAAAAGAAAAAAATCTCCCTCAAAAAGCCCCTCCGAAGGTTTCAGGACAGTCGCTTTCTACACTCTTGGAAAAAAGGGTGGAGGAGAACCCTTTGAAGAACCCTTTTTGGTTCGAGGTAGAACCCTTTTGGTTCCAGGTATAACCCTTTTGGGTTCCATGTAGAACCTTTTCGGAACCCTTTTTTCTAAGAGTGTAATGATGTCATCCTTACGTTGCTTGATGTTGGCGTCTCTGTAGGTTCCATTGAGAATGGCCAGCTCCATCAACTGCATCTTCTTCAGACTGTCCTCTCCTTCAGCCTACACACACGCACACACACACAGGACATTCAATATCCATCCAGTTGGCTGAAGGCTGAATTACGTTACACTCTGGTGAACAGATTGTGAGTGATGTAGGCATACAGCTGTACAGCTAGGCCAGCGATGTTAAACTAACAGATATCATTAACCCCCACCCACCCACTCAGGTCGTCATGGTTAAGTTAACATTTATCATTATAGTACCGGTACTTCACAGCTTAGCCCCCTCCTACCCTAGAACTTCTCTGGTGTTGATGGATACTGTACTGTACACTGATTGGACATTAACAGAGGGGGGTGGGACAGCATAAGTTGAAAGGGGGAATAAGTTATATTACTGTAAGTCAGGGGGCCAGATGTCTTGTCTGATCATCAGGGGAATGATAATTGCAAGGAGAAGTAATCAAAATGTTCAAATGAATAGATTTGGTAGATAGTTGTTAATTATTTTTCACTATCCACAGTTAACTTTAACATAGCCTATTAGCTAGAAAGGTAACTCCTAACACATTTATATATTGTTGTCCGCGGACCCCAGCTTGAATATCCCTGCTGTAAGTCAATGCAGTGCAATTTGAGAGTTTGAGAGTTTGAAAGTTCACAACTACTTTATTCAATGTTGAATTCAGGAGTGAGAGCAAAATGTTTAGCAATACTTTGTCTGTGTCACGGATTCTGCCGAGGCTGCCCCTCCTCCTTGTTCGGGCAGGCTTCGGCGTTCGTCGTCACCGGAATACTATCTGCTGCCGATCTATGTTCTATGTTTCTATGTTGCACCTGTTGTCTATTGTTACACACCTGTTGACCATTATTGTGATCACTCCTTCCCTATTTAACCCAGTGGCTCCCAATGTGTTTTGTGCGTGGTTGTTTTTCGTTTCGTGTGTCGTTGGTTGAGTGGGTTAGTTCCTCCCTGTGTGGAGGTAGTCTGTGTTGTATTCTTTACTTATTTCAGTAAAGTACGTTTCTTAGAGTTCTGTGTCCTGCGCCTGACTTCGATCCACCGCATATCACTGACACTCGTGACAGTCTGTGTTGTGGGGGCATTGGGTAGCTGGCTATGAGAATGTGAGAAATGTTGAGGGACGCATGGAAAGAGTTCATGTGAGAAAAGAGAAAGAGAATGAGGAGGAGGGAATGAATTGAGTGTGAGAGAGGAGTGAAAGGAGTGATAGAGTGAAAAGAAAGAGTGAACAGTCTCTCCATTCATCCCCTCCTCCTTTCACAACATGCATTACCATGGATACGCCTTTATAGATGCTGCCTGGCGAATTACACACATACACACATACACACACACACACACACACACACACACACACACACAGACACCCCGCTGGGCACAGACAAAGTCTAGTTTTGATTTACATTTGGTTGAGCTGTCAACTAATGTGAATTCAACAAAACATTTCACCATGTCATTGGACTTAGGTGAAAAGTTGGGTGAAAGAAATACAGAATGACCTTACGTTGATTTCTTTTTGCAAATACAATTCGTTTTCCACGTTGATTCAACGTCATCACATAGATTTCTGGGGTTGAAATGAAGTGGAAACAATGTTGATTCAACCAGTTTTTGCCCATTGGGACATACAGTATACAATATATATACACACACACACACATAATTATAGCATGAAACTCATGGTACTCACGGCTGGTACGAGTAGTTTCTTGACCTCTGCGGTAGCTCTTTGTAGTTTGATCTGAGCTCTGTTGTGTGTGTCTTCCACTGTGATGAGTACATGGAGTTCCTCACTCAGATGTTCCCAGTTAGGTTTCCCTCTGTTCAGCTCCTCCTGATATACATTCAAAACAATAATATTCCCAGAAAACTGTCCACATTGGCTTTAGTTCTGTAACAACAGGTCAGAATGTCTACCCACTCTTTCTATCTCTTTCAACTAATTTCCCCATCTCTCCATCCCTCCCTCTCTCCCCTCTTTCGTTCTTTCTCTGAGGTGTGGGATGGGTATATTCTCATGAGAGGTAGATGGAATGCTGATGATATGCTCCACCTGCCGTTACCTGCTCCACTGTAAGTCTGACACCCTGGCCAGAACCAAAGAACCAAAACCAGCAGAGAAACAGATGGACTCAGCTCTATTCACCTCTACTCCACTCCATTATAATCTAGTACCAAAATAAATACACCATGCTATGTGTGTGTGTACATAGGTGCATGCATGCCTGCATGTGAGGCCGGCAGTTAGCCTAGCAGTTAAGTGCATTGGACCATTAACTGAGAGGTTGCTGGTTTGAATCCCTGAGCCGACTCGATGTGCAATTGAGCAACACACTTAATCCTAATTACTCCTGCAAATTGCTTTGGATAAGAGCGTCTGCTAAAATGTGAAGTATGTGAGCCAATTATGTGCAGTAGGCAGGGTAGGCCTATGATAATCTAATAAAAAAAGCTGTTTTGGAAAGCAAAATAAATCATATAAAAAAATGGTCATTACTTTTTTGTTATCTAATGTTTTTTCAATGATTCGGGTGGTTTTTATGCTCAGAATCTAAACATTTAATAAAACTGCATCAAAACCTCAGGAAAGGCACCAGGGTATACATGCCTTCATTCCCATCCATTCAAATCCATTAAAACATGTTACCTACTCCAGTCACTGTTGATTGCCCATGTGTATTGCCTAAACTTGTTGTGTGGGTACGCCTATGGTAAGCTCTGCACATTTGGGTGTCTACATAATTTTGTGCTCGCATCCGTTGAACTGAACAAAGCTAGCTAGCCAGCAAAAAACAACATGACAAATGGACACTATACTGCACCTCAAACAATTTCCCAAGTTGGATTTCCAAGAAAACTTGGTACAATTCAGAGAGGGAGACCAACACCTACACTTCTTGACTTTCATCAGATCGGGACAACGACACGCTGCTGATGGCCTCTGGATATGATACCTGGCTGTCAAAGGCATCAACCGGCTTTCTGCTGATGGTCTATGTGGAGATTTTCAGCTAAACTGATGCACTCTTTCGTGTTCTGCAGAATAAAATAATGGCCACGGGGTTCTGCTGTGCACATATCAGCGCCACAATGAAAGTTGTGGTTGCTCGGAGACAAGAGTTTGATCACCAAGAAGCTCATCCTGAAGGACAGACAAATGGACTTAATTTACAAGTAAAGGTAGGCCTATATGCATTTTCCTTTGCAATTTGCGGGTTATGCTATTGTTGAATGAACATGAGAATAGACAACATCCATTTGATCCATTTGATTTATCAAGCTAGAATTTCAATTTGATGAGACACTTTTTTAACGTTTTGAACTGCATTTTTCAGTCATTTCATTTTTGATATGGACATTTCGTTAGAACCTTATTTATTATACACTGAGTATACCAAACATTAAGAACACCTTCCTAATATTGAGTTGCACCCCCTTTTGCCCTCAGAACAGCCTCAATTCATCGGGCCATGGACTTTACAAGGTGTTGAAAGCATTCCACAGGGATACTGGCCCATGTTGACTTCAATGCTTCCCACAGTTGTGTCAAGTTGGCTGGATGTCCTTTGGGTGGTGGACCATTCTTGATACACACGGGAACCTGTTGAGCATGAAAAACCCAGCAGCATTGCTGTTCTTGACACAAACCGGTGCGCCTTCCATACCCCGTTCAAAGGCACTTCAATCTTTTGTCTTGCCCATTCACCCTCTGAATGGCACACATACACAATCCATGTCTCAATTGCCTCAAGGCTTAAAAATCCTTCTTTAACCGGTCTCCTCCCCTTCATCTACACTGATTGAAGTGGATTTAACAAGTGACATCATAGCTTTCACCTGGATTCACCTGGTCAGTCTGTCATGGAAAGAGCAGGGGTTTTGTATACTCAGTGTATATGTGTGTGTAATAATATTATTATTATGTGTGTGTGTGTGTGTGTGTGTTTACGTGCATGCGTAAATCCATTGTGAAAGGCTGGAGTTTGGATTGCAAACTATTCTGATAAAATGTGTGTAATAATATTTCACATAATAATATTATTACGTGTATGTGTGTTTGCGCACGTAAATCCATTGTGAAAGGCTGGAGTTTGAGTTCCACACTATTCAGATGAAATGTGTCCATATATTGGTCTTTAAGTGCCACCTATTGGTTGTAACTTTGGATGCTACATCGATCTATGGCTGAGCTGAGTTGAGCAGTGTGTCATTTTGTCGGATGATATGAAATATGCCACCATCGGAGGCTATCGCTTGTGTATCTGGGCTACATTGGTATTTACATTTGGTGAAAATTGTCTGTCAATTTCGGTTAGTAGCCTATGTCAATCTGGTTGTTTGAGCTATCTGTTGTACTGTATGGTGAACTTGGGCTTCATCAATGTTTATTTGTGAGTATATCTGGCTTTGATAATAGCCAGTGTCTACCCAGCCACCAACCTCACCGCACGTCATTGGTGTGAGCGTACCTACCTTCTTTTTATCTCTCATGGATCCTTTCCCTCGTACCATAATCTTACAGCCTGTCTCTGCCTCGAGCTGTTTGGCTGTCAGACCCCTTGGACCCAGGATCCTACCTACAAAGTTAAACTACACACACACACACACACACATACACACACACATAGAGAGAGAGAGAGAGACATATTTTAAGAATATGTAGGTCCAGGAGTTGGTGCCTAGCCATGAAATACTCCTGGCCGTGGTTGGTAACTCTCCCAACACGGAAAAATAAACTGAAGCCTGTACGCGCTCGCGCGCGCGCGTGTGTGTGTGTGTGTGTGTGTTGTTGGTCGGTTTGGAGAGTCTATTGTCCATGAAATCACAAACAACGGACTCACTCCAAAGTATTTAGTTGTCGAAAGAATGTGGTATTGTGACATGTATTTAGAGTAGGGCTGGAGAAAAAGCCTGCACGTCCATTCACTCTCCAGGAGGAAAGCTGGGCACCACTGATTTAGAGAGTGCTGCTGCAATAAAAGTATGTTGAACCAAGGATGGCACAGACAGAGATTTCTTATCTTTTTGCATACTGCAATCTTCATGTTAATATTTAATTTCATTCTGGGCTTCTGTGTGTGTGTGTGTGTGTGTGTGTGTGTGTGTGTGTGTGTGTGTGTGTGTGTGTGTGTGTGTGTGTGTGTGTGTGTGTGTGTGTGTGTGTGTGTGTGTGTGTGTGTGTGTGTGTGTGTGTGTGTGTGTGGAGAGAGAGAGAGAGAGAGAGAGAGAGAGAGAGAGAGAGAGAGTCAGGAATAGGTCATTGTGTGTGTTGGCTTGTGGTGAGGCTGGACACTCTTAACCTTATCTGTCACTGGAGCTGAGAGATTAATAAGACAGCTGCCTCTCTCTCTTTCTCACTCTCTTTAGCTCTCTTTCTATCTCCCTCTTTCCCATCTCTCTCTCCGTTTGTCTTTCCCTCTGTCTCTCTACCTTTCACACCCTTGTGTCTGTCTGTTTTTGTTTCTCTGACCCCCAACTTCTATACGGGTGTCAACGCATTCTCTTCATTCCTAAAGAACTCCTTTAACACACCCACATGCACGCACACCCGCACGCACACGCATTCATACACACACACTAGAGAGAGAAGCTAGTCATTATTTTTAGCCCTGATCTCATCTGTTCCATCGTCTTATGTGAGTTTGTGTGGGTCGTTCTGCGTGTGTCTGTGTGTGTTTGTGCACCCGCGCCATTTTATCATGTGTATGAAGAGAAGCTTCTGTCATCACCTCTATCTGATGTCCTCTGCCCTCTTTTATAAGGGCTGGGAGCTTAGAAAGCAGCCCTTTCCCCTTTACTGCTACCCCATCTATGTTAACAAATCTGAAAGGACCGGACAGGAGTATCAACATGGCAATGGCTCTACCTTACCCTCCAATGGGCTGGAAGCTTCTGTTGTTATGGAAAGGGGTTGATTTCGGTATAGATATGCTGTCACTCTGGATAGACACTGCAATAAAGTCTACAAAGGGTGAAAAAAGGTTTGTCCACTCACGTCGGGGTACTCTTTGACAGGCACGTAGAGCTTCTCCTGCAGCTGAGCCACTGGACCAATCCCATTAGGCAGCTCCTCAGAGTTCCGACCCTCGGCGGCCACACCTCCATTCATCGAGTCGTTATACATGTCCTTGCGCACTCTACCTATCTCTGATGGAGGGAGAAAGAGAGAGAAAGAAGAGAGCGAGAGAAACTGATCATTTAGAACACTAGGCCCAATAACAAAATAAAGACAGAGTGTGTGTGTTTGTTTAAAGCTGTCTGACTCAGACTTCCAATATTGTTGCATGATGCATTACTAACAACATATAATAGCCAACCACTATAATAACCCGCTAGGCTACTGCACACACACGCACACACGCACACACACACACACACACACACACACTAACCTGTGAAATAACTATGGCCTGACGGAAGCAGAGTGATAACTAAGTTTGACCATAGTAATAATAACTAGAACCGTTAATTATGTAAAGCTATAATCACAACAGCTTTAAGCCTCTAATAACACCTGACCTCACACGTAAACCTGATTATTACACACGCGCACACACAGACCTAAAAGTAAACGTACACTACACACACACACACACAATATAACACACACGCACAGTGGATGATGTGTCTTGGATGAGACAGCCACAGTAGTTAAACTAACACAATATGAATAATGTGGCTGTAGGACGGAAAGAGAGACAGTGAGTGCATGAGTGTGTAAGTATGTGCATGTTTGACCATGGTCCAGTCTATAAATACAGAGACAGCTCTAGATAGTGTAATGGTAGGTTGAAGTGTTGAGATAAATCCTAGCGCAAATAACTCCCCCTCTTCCTCTCTCTTGTCTTCCTCTCTTCTCTCTTACTACTTTTTCTTTCTTTCTCCCCCTCTGATTTTCCCTTGTCAAAAACAACACCATGACCACTGTTAACCTGATCAATAATTCCACATAACATAACAGGTGTGTGTGTTGAAATTGTAAATATTGTGAATTTGTATAATTGTGTGCAAGGCTCCCTTGAAAAAGAGGCCTTGGTCTCAATGGGATTTTCTGTTTAAATAAATGTTACTGCATGGTGCTCGACTTGTCTAAGTCGGTCCTCCACAGTCAAATATTTTCAGGCTGACATCCCATTGACCGTGTGTGTACTGAGCCTCGTGCCTGGCCGGGGATGGGGCGCCACATTCACACCCCTCGCACATTAGGTCACCGGCCCAGACTAACAACTGTCCGTTTGTTCACAGCACCCACTGCCTGGTGTGTGTGTATTATTGTGTGTGTGTGTGTGTGTGTGTGTGTGTGTGTGTGTGTGTGTGTGTGTGTGTGTGCACGCATGTGTGCGTATGTGTATCTCACAGTACACTGTAAAATAAATCTTGTTGTTTGAACTTAGGGACAGAATAGGGGAGGGTTGTCAAACTTATTTTTTGCTTTGGGGAGGGTTGTGTGGGTTTTTATTGGGCACAAGGGAGGGTAGTGCGTTTTTCCCCTGGTTAACATTTGCTCTTCTGCTCATATTTTCCCTATAAACAATGGCTTGACTTACTTTGATATTACCCTAATAAAGTTTAGAAATGTTTGTGAAGGTTTGGTATGGTGTGGCTATTATTAAGCTTTAGCTACTGCAGGCCTATGATATGAAGGAAGTGTGCCCCGGCGCTCCAACTGACTCTGACTATTGAACTTGAGGTGAGGAAGACCAGAGTTACTCCTATAATCTAACAATATAATGCTTGTCTTTATACAAAATATTCTGATTGAAAAAGTTACGAATTAGCCTCCTTCTGTACATCTATATCTATATAGCAGACGCAGTAGCCATCTGACATAAATAAATGCATGTCGGTGTCGTAGCATGCCACCGGCATATTTCTATCTCTCTGTATCTCTCGGGTTAGGCCTAAGATTATCTTCCTTTATATAGGCTATATATATTTATTAAAATGTTAATATCATACAGTGGGCATCTAAGCCTATAGGCCTATGCATGCAATGCCCTGATTCATGTAATGCTCAAATCTCTGACAGGTGAACAGTGAGGTGGACAATTATTGTTTTAGGAAAGTAGCCTAAAAAGCAATAAAGAAAATTGGCTATAAAGTGTTGCATATGCTACACATTGCAAAACAAGGAATAGTGTTTTTGTAATTTGTTATAGGCTGTTTTTAAGGACACGTAAATATGGCTCATTTGGCCAATATCCCTAGTTTATTAATGGCGCTGGCTGCGCAAGTTCGTATCTGAATGCATATGGATGTCCGGTAAAATTCTCAAATGTCCGGTAAATTTAAATCTTCCCTGTCAAGTTGTCCGGTGACAGATTTTCCTAAAGGAAACTCTGAAATGGCATGTTGTTTTTATGAAGATTTTAGAATATTTGCATTAAAATCTGTCGCCAATTGGATGGAAACCTAGCTAGTGCGCTACTCCAGTGTCACTTTGATTGTGTCTGCACATCATGGTTCACCAGCAGCCCCAAACATCTAAAGAATAAGCTACCAGCCAAACAAGCTTGTAAGAATTGTACTTAAACACCCCCCTCATACTCATCTGGAGGTTGAGCATTTTTTAGTCTCCCTCTCTGTAATGTGTCTGTATCTATGTAATTGCATCGAGTCTTCTTGGGTATGACGCTACAAGCTTGGCACACCTGTATTTGGGGAGTTTCTCCCATTCTTCTCTGCAGATGCTCTCAAGCTCTGTCAGGTTGGATGGGGAGCATTGCCGCACAGCTATTTTCAGGTCTCTCCAGAGATGTTCGATCGGGTTCAAGTGCGGGCTCTGGCTGGGCCACTCAATGACATTCAAAGACTCCTGCATTGTCTTGGCTGTGTGCTTAGGGTCGTTGTCCTGTTGGAAGATGAACCTTCGACCCAGTCTGAGGTCCTGAGCGCTCTGGAGCAGGTTCTCTCTGTACTTTGCTCTGTTCATCTTTCCCTCGATCCTGACTAGTCTCCCAGTCCCTGCCGCTGAAAAACATTCCCACAGCATGATGCTGCCGCCACCATGCTTCACCGTAGGGATGGTGCCAGGTTTCCTTCAGACGTGACACTTGGTATTCAGGCCAAAACGTTCAATCTTGGTTTCATCAGACAAGAGAATCTTGTTTCTCATGATCTGAGAGTCTTTAGGCGCCTTTTGGAAAACTCCATGCAGGCTGTCATGTGCCTTTTACTGAAGAGTGGATTCCGTCTGGTCACTCTACCATAAAGTCCTGAGCTTTTTGGCCATCAAGGAAAACACTATGTCTGGCGCAAACCCAACACCGCTCATCACCCCGAGAACACCATCCCCACAGTGAAGCATGGTGGTGGCAGCATCATGCTGTGGGGATGTTTTTCATCGGCAGGGACTGGGAAACTGGTCAGAATTGAAGGATTGATGGATGGCGCTAAATACAGGGAAATTCTTGAGGGAAACCTGTTTCAGTCTTACAGAGATTTGAGACTGGGACGGACGTTCACCTTCCAGCAGGACAATGACCCTAAGCATACTGCTAAAGCAACACTCGAGTGGTTTAAGGGGAAACATTTAAATGTCTTGGAATGGCCTAGTCAAAGTGAATAGTTATGCATGATCAAGTATTCTGTTTATTTGGTCTTATTTCTTGTTTGTTTCACACAAAAAATAGATTTTGCATCTTCAAAATGGTAGGCATGTTGTGTAAATCAAATGATACAAACCCCACAAAAATCCATTTTAATTCCAGGTTGTAAGGCAACAAAAAAGGAAAAATGCCAAAGGGGTGAATACTTTCACAAGCCACTGTAAATAAGGTATTTCTGTTTTTTATTTTTAATAAAATTGCAAAAATGTCTAACAACCTGTTTTTGGTTTGTCATTATGGAGTATTGTGTGTAGATTGCTGAGGATTTGTATTTATTTAATCCATTTTAGAATAAGGATGTAACGTAGCAAAATGTGGAAAAAGTCAAGGGGTCTGAATACTTTCCGAAGGCACTGTACATACAAACAAACTATCAAACGTTTGTTGAGATTGACAAAGTCTATTTATTGTGGTGTTGAAAACACAAACCATGATATTGAAGTGCCCAAGTTGGTATGCTTTGTTTATTGGTTGTGTGGTGAATTGGCACATAAACCTGTTTGTGGAAAATGTGTTGCATATATTTTATATACAGTTGAAGTCGGAAGTTTACATATACCTTAGCCAAATACATTTAAACTCAGTTTTCCCTACTCCTGACATTTAATCCTAGTAAAAATTCCCTGTCTTAGGTCAGTTAGGATCACCACTTTATTTTAAGAATGGGAAATGTCAGAATAATAGTAGAGAGAATGTTTTATTTCAGCTTTTATTTCTTTCATCACATTCCAAGTGGGTCAGAAGTTTACATACACTCAATTAGTATTTGGTAGCATTGCCTTTAAATTGTTTAAATTGGGTCAAACGTTTCAGGTAGCCTTCCACAAGCTTCCCACAATAAGTTGGGTGAATTTTGGTCCATTCCTCCTGACAGAGCTGGTGTAACTGAGTCAGGTTTGTAGGCCTCCTTGCTCACACACACTTTTTCAGTTCTGCCCACACATTTTCTATAGGATTGAGGTCAGGGTTTTGTGATGGCCACTCCAATACCTTGACTTTGTTGTCCTTAAGCCATTTTGCCACAACTTTGGAAGTATGCTTGGGGTCATTGTCCATTTGGAAGACCCATTTGCGACCAAGCTTTAACTTCCGGACTGATGTCTTGAGATGTTGCTTCAATATATCCACATCATTTTCCTTCCTCATGATGCCATCTATTTTGTGAAGTGCACCAGTCCCTCCTGCAGCAAAGCACCCCCACAGCATGATGCTGCCACCCCCGTGCTTCACAGTTGGGATGGTGTTCACTATGTGATCACGCTCTCCGTAGCCGATGTGAGTAAGACTTTTAAGCAGGTCAACATTCACAAGGCCGCAGGGCCAGACGGATTACCAGGACGTGTACTCCGAGCATGTGCTGACCAACTGGCAAGTGTCTTCACTGACATTTTCAACATGTCCCTGACTGAGTCTGTAATACCAACATGTTTCAAGCAGACCACCATAGTCCCCGTGCCCAAGAACTCTAAGATAACCTGCCTAAATGACTACCGACCCGTAGCACTGACGTCTGTAGCCATGAAGTGCTTTGAAAGACTGGTCATGGCTCACATCAACAGCATAATCCCAGAAACCCTAGACCCACTCCAATTTGCATACCGCCCCAACAGATCCACAGATGATGCAATCTCTATCGCACTCCACACTGCCCTTTCCCACCTGGACAAGAGGAACACCTACGTGAGAATGCTATTCATTGACTACAGCTCAGCATTCAACACCATAGTGCCCTCTAAGCTCATCACTAAGCTAAGGATCCTGGGACTAAACACCTCCCTCTGCAACTGGATCCTGGACTTCCTGACGGGCCGCCCCCAGGTGGTAAGGGTAGGTAACAACACATCTGCCACACTGATCCTCAACACGGGGGCCCCTCAGGGGTGCGTGCTCAGTCCCCTCCTGTACTCTCTGTTCACCCATGACTGCATGGCCAGGCACGACTCCAACACCATCATTAAGTTTGCCGACGACACAACAGTGGTAGGCCTGATCACCGACAACGATGAGACAGCCTATAGGGAGGAGGTCAGAGATCTGGCCGTGTGGTGCCAGGACAACAACCTCTCCCTCAACGTGACCAAGACAAAGGAGATGATTGTGGACTACAGGAAAAAAAAGAGGACTGAGCACGCCCCCATTCTCATCGACGGGGCTGTAGTGGAACAGGTTGAGAGCTTCAAGTTCCTTGGTGTCCACATCACCAATGAACTATCATGGTCCAAACACACCAAGACAGTCGTGAAGAGGGCACGACAAAGCCTATTCCCCCTCAGGAGACTAAAAAGATTTGGCATGGGTCCTCAGATCCTCAAAAAATTATACAGCTGCACCATCGAGAGCATCCTGACTGGTTGCATCACCGCCTGGTATGGCAACTGCTTGGCCTCCGACCGCAAGGCACTACAGAGGGTAGTGCGTACGGCCCAGTACATCACTGGGGCAAAGCTTCCTGCCATCCAGGACCTCTATACCAGGCGGTGTCAGAGGAAGGCCCTCAAATTGTCAAAGACTCCAGCCACCCTAGTCATAGACTGTTTTTCTCTCTGCTACCGCACGGCAAGCGGTAACCGGAGTGCCAAGTCTAGGTCCAAAAGACTTTCTCACAGCTTCTACCCCCAAGCCTAAGACTCCTGAACACTAATCATGGCTACCCACAATTTGGCCCCTGCCCCCCACCCCATCCTTTTTACGCTCTGCTACTCTGTTAAGTATTTATGCATGTCCCCTTTAACTCTACCCACATTTACTATTACCTCAACTACCTCAACTAAGCCGGTGCCCCCGCACATTGACTCTGCAACGGTACCCCCCTTTTATATATAGCCCCCTACTGTCATTTATTTTACTTCTGCCCCCAGAATGGCCTAGTAAGTGATAGTTATGCACGATCAAGTATTCTGTTTATTTGGTCTTATTTCTTGTTTGTTTCACAAAGAAAATAGATTTTGCATCTTCAAAATGGTAGGCATGTTGTGTAAATCAAATGATAAAAAACCCCCAAAAATCCATTTTAATTTCAGGTTGTAAGGCAACAAAAAAGGAAAAATGCCAAAGGGGTGAATACTTTCACAAGCCACTGTAAATAAGGTATTTCTGTTTTTTATTTTTAATAAAATTGCAAAAATGTCTAACAACCTGTTTTTGGTTTGTCATTATGGGGTATTGTGTGTAGATTGCTGAGGATTTGTATTTATTTAATCCATTTTAGAATAAGGATGTAACGTAACAAAATGTGGAAAAAGTCAAGGGGTCTGAATACTTTCCGAAGGCACTGTACATAAAAACAAACTATCAAACGTTTGTTGAGATTGACAAAGTCTATTTATTGTGGTGTTGAAAACACAAACCATGATATTGAAGTGCCCAAGTTGGTATGCTTTGTTTATTGGTTGTGTGGTGAATTGGCACAGAAACCTGTTTGTGGAAAATGTGTTGCATATATTTTATATACAGTTGAAGTCGGAAGTTTACATATACCTTAGCCAAATACATTTAAACTCAGTTTTCCCTACTCCTGACATTTAATCCTAGTAAAAATTCCCTGTCTTAGGTCAGTTAGGATCACCACTTTATTTTAAGAATGGGAAATGTCAGAATAATAGTAGAGAGAATGTTTTATTTCAGCTTTTATTTCTTTCATCACATTCCAAGTGGGTCAGAAGTTTACATACACTCAATTAGTATTTGGTAGCATTGCCTTTAAATTGTTTAACTTGGGTCAAATGTTTCAGGTAGCCTTCCACAAGCTTCCCACAATAAGTTGGGTGAATTTTGGTCCATTCCTCCTGACAGAGCTGGTGTAACTGAGTCAGGTTTGTAGGCCTCCTTGCTCACACACGCTTTTTCAGTTCTGCCCACACATTTTCTATAGGATTGAGGTCAGGGTTTTGTGATGGCCACTCCAATACCTTGACTTTGTTGTCCTTAAGCCATTTTGCCATAACTTTGGAAGTATGCTTGGGGTCATTGTCCATTGGGCTGTAAGTAAGCATTTCACTGTAATGTCTGCACCTGTTGTATTCGGCGCATGTGACCAATAAAATGTGATTTGATTTGATTTGATTATTCGGCTTGCAAGCACCCCCTTTTTCCTCCAAACATAACGATGGTCATTATGGCCAAACAGTTCTATTTTTGATTCATCAGACCAGAGGACATTTCTCCAAAAATTACAATCTTTGTCCCCATGTGCAGTTGCAAACCGTAGTCTGGCTTTTTTATGGCGGTTTTGGAGCAGTGGCTTCTTCCTTGCTGAGCGTCCTTTCAGGTTATGTCACTATAGGACTTGTTTTACTGTGGATATAGATAATTTTGTACCTGTTTCCTCCAGCTTCTTCACAATGTCCTTTGCTGTTGTTCTGGGATTGATTTTCACTTTTCGCACCAAAGTACGTTAATCTCTAGGAGACAGAACGCGTCTCCTTCCTGAGCGGTATGACGGCTGCGTGGTCCCATGGTGTTTATACTTGCGTACTATTGTTTGTACAGATGAACGTGGTACCTTCAGGCATTTGGAAATTGCTCCCAAGGATTAACCAGACTTGTGGAGGTCTACAAAAAAAATTCTGAGGTCTTGGCTGATTTATTTGGATTTTCCCATGATGTCAAGCAAAGAGGCACTGAGTTTGAAGGTAGGCCTTGAAATACATCCACTGGTACACCTCCAATTGACTCAAATGATGTCAATTAGACTATCAGAACCTTCTAAAGCCATCATTTTCTGGAATTTTCCAAGCTGTTTAAAGGCAGAGTCAACTTAGTGTATGTAAACTTCTGACTCACTGGAATTGTGATATAGTGAATTATAAGTGAAATAATCTGTCTGTAAACAATTGTTGGAAAAATTACTTGGGTCATGCACAAAATAGATGTCCTACCAACTTGCCAAAACTATAGTTTGTTAACAAGAAATGTGTGGAGTGGTTGATGACACCTTGATTTGGACCAGCACCTCCCCCCCAGTAAATGTAAATCTGTCTCTTATTATTATCAGGTAACTGGTTCAACAGCCTTTATTTCTTTTTTTACTTTACTTTTTGGTCTAAGTGTTACCTGAACAAAAAATATATGTATAATTCAACTACAAACTATTTTCTGGGCATCTTACCTAAAAAAGGCTGTGGAACTAGTTACACACACACTGCTTTTAACATACAATGTTTTCAATTTACATGTTCACACCTGGGATTAGAACTCATCTTCTCTTTGTGACAGACTGGGTTCAAATGCCTTCTGTTTCTTTTTTCCTGTATTTATTTATCTGTATGTATGTATGTATGTATGTATGTATGTATGTATGTATGTATGTATGTATGTATGTATGTATGTATGTATGTATGTATGTATGTATGTATGTATGTATGTATGTATGTATGTATGTATGTATGTATGTATGTATGTGTATATATACGGTGTGTATGTATGTATGTATATTATTTTACTGCTCTAGGGATATAATTATTGTTTGGATAACCTTATCTATTATGTATAGATTTTTACCTTACATTTTTTCACTCTTAATGCGATGCGCAATGCAGAGAACACCAGAAGAAGAATGATAATTTAATTACCACAGTGAATTATTGTAATGTTTGTTTATGTGTCAATTAATCCCATAAGGGATGGGTTGCCAATTGGCGATTTGACATGAAAATAAAATGTCATTCATTCATTGATTCATTCACAACCTCTTGGTTTACGGCATTGCAATATTCCTGCTACGCCACCATGTCTGTGTCAATGATTGATTTCACCTGTATTGCCCCACCAACATTAGACAACTATACAGAAAAACAAAAAATTGCTGAAATAAGTAAATCAAATCAATGTTAAGAGAATAGTCAGATTAACTGATAATTGACACAGAAATGGTGTGTAACAGGAAGATCGGAATGCTGTGAACCATGAGGTTGTGAGTTCAAATCCCAAGTGAGGACATGTTGAATAATAATTACTGTAAATGAACATGCACAATGTAATCATATGTGTCAAATATGTCAGTTGAAAACATTGTATATTAAAAGGACTGATTGTGTGTGTGTAACCAGTTTCATATACTTTTTTAGTTAAGATGCCCAAATAATAATTTGTAGTTGAATGAACATATGAGACAAGTTGAGCAAACACATCATTTTAAATGGACATAATTTTTGCATACTTTTAATCAAGTTGGAGCTAAGTTTGGGCCAATACTTTGTTTTTAGTTTAGGTAACACTTGGATCAAAAAGTTGTAGCCTATACCAAGCAACATAATTGACATATCCACCAACTAATTATAGACCTAGGCTACCATGTCTTTTGTAAATCTTCTAAAAAATATGCATTGAGCCTACACATTTACCTTCTTCTAGGAGCCGCTCCAGGTGTGTGAAAATGCCAGTGAAGTTGGGCAGCGAGCTCATCACCTTCCGGTCCGTCATCAACTGCATCAGATAGTCCGGGCTAGGCCTTGGTCTTTCCCGGACCTGCTCACTCATCTCCCCGACCATGGTCACACTCACAACTCAAGTCTACAAAATTAGGGCCGACGCTCTGCAATGACGCTTTACAAAAATTTGATTAAAAGTGATGTCCAAAAAGCTGCCTCGAGCCCTAGCCTCCGATTCTGTGATGAGTTTGTCACGCACCTCTCTGAGTATTCGGCAGTCCCAATGTCATGCGCTAAAGTAACGGGACCAGAGAAAAAGAGGGGAAAGAAACGAGAGGCTTTTTACTCCGCTCGCTTGATTAGGCCTACACTATCGCAAAAGTTGTGTCCCGCGTTTCTGTAAGCGAGTTCTCTTCTTCACCGTTTCACAGCAAGATAGAAGTCCCTAGTGCCTATTCACGCTCTCTCAGAGTCGGTCCACTTGTTTTCTCCCCTTCATTCCTCCTCGCTCATGTCCGGTGTGTGTCGATATTCAGACCCTGTCATATGACCACACATCACACTGCAAGAGCGAGAAAGAGGGAGAGGGAGAGAGAGAGACCGAAATGGGGTAGGGGGTGGTACCAGAGCGCGCTGCGTGTCCCCGAAGATTCGATTCAGGGGAGAGGGCGTGCTGTCTCCACTCTGTCTCTTTCTCTCCTCCCCCACGCCTCACACACTCACACACACACACACACACACACACACACACAAACACACACAAACACACACACACACTTAGAGGATGAGCTGTTCTAGATGACAATGTCAACAATGCTGTTTGGCCATTTGCATTCAGAGGTATGCACACCTGTTCAACCTTCAGTTGCTGTCTGTCACTTGGGGGATCTCTGAAAGTGTGTGTGGCATGCAGGTGGTCTCTCTGTATTTTTCTTTCTTTCTTTCTTTCTTTCTTTCTTTCTTTCTTTCTTTCTTTCTTTCTTTCTTTCTTTCTTTCTTTCTTTCTTTCTTTCTCTCTCTCTCTCTCTCTCTCTCTCTCTCTCTCTCTCTCTCTCTCTCTCTCTCTCTCTCTCTCTCTCTCTCTCTCTCTCTCTCTCTCTCTCTCTCTCTCTTTCTTTCTCTCAACTCAATTCAAGGGGCTTTATTGGCATGGGAAACATATGTTTACATTGCCAAAGCAAGTGAAATGGATAAACAAAAGTGATATAAACAATAAAAAGTGAACAGTAAATATTACACTCACACAAGTTCCAAAAGAATAAAGATATTCAAATGTCATATTACATCTATAAATAGTGTTGTAACGATCTGCAAATAGTTAAGTTAAAAAAGGGAAAATTAACATAAATATGGGTTGTATTTACAATGGTGTTTGTTCTTCACTGGTTGCCCTTTTCTTGTGGCAACAGGTCACAAATCTTGCTTCTGTGATTGCACACTGTGGTATTTCACCCAATAGATTTGGGAGTTTATCAAAATTGGATTTGTTTTCGAGTGGCGCAGTGGTCGAAGGCACTGCATCGCAGTGCTAGCTGTGCCACTAGAGATCCTGGTTCGAATCCAGGCTCTGTCGTAGCCGGCCGCGACCGGGAGGCCCATGGGGCAGCGAATAATTGGCCCAGCGTCGTCCAGGGTAGGGGAGGGAATGGCCGGCAGGGATGTAGCTCAGTTGATAGAGCATGGCGTTTGCAACGCCAGGGTTGTGGGTTCGATTCCCACGGGGGGCCAGTATGAAAAACATAATGTAGGCACTCACTAACTGTAAGTCGCTCTGGATAAGAGCGTCTGCTAAATGACTAAAATGTAAATGTAAAATGAAGTGCAGCTCAGTTTCCACCTCATTCTGTGGGCAGTATGTCAGTACTGTGTGTGTGCTGTATGAGGATCAGCATATGTCTCTCCTCTCCCTATTAACCTGAGTGCAGGTTATTACAAATTACAGTCTCCCCTCCTTCTATAATCTCCCTCCCCCCTCTCTCTCTCTCACACACACACACACACACTTTTCTTCGAATAAAATGCTACATTCATGTATACTTTGGATAATAATGCCTTGTAATTGGCAAGGCTGTACGTGTGTGTGTGTGTGTGTGTGTGTTCTGACTCTGTGGACTAGCTGTTCTGACTCCAGTCTTTATCCGCCACAGCTGTCTCACACTGTTGTTCCTCTGTCCACTCCAACACAGATATGCAGCAGAGAGAATATTAATCAAAAGAAACAAACACACACAAACACCACACACACAGAGAGAGAATAGTAATCTCAGATTGAGCTCCCGTCTCACCCCTCCATTTATCTTTCCCCCTTTCTTGCTCTCCCCCTTCCCTCTTCCTCCCCCATCTCCACCCACCAGGCACCACATGTCATTCCTCCTAACAATCAGACGTGTGTAGTTAACCTTCAAGACAACGACTGTCTTATACGTCTGATAGGGTAGGGGACAATGTGTGTGTGTGTGTGTGTGTGTGTGTGTGTGTGTGTGTGTGTGTGTGTGTGTGTGTGTGTGTGTTATTGGGTGATGGCTTTGGTCCAGCCTGGTATGGTATGGTGGGTATTCATGGCGGGGGTAAGACATTGTCCTCTCATGGCCCAAACAATACCCCCTCTCAGCAGGACACAAGACACTGACTAGCTACTGAAACACACTCACAGCAGAGAGAGAGAGAGAGAGAGAGCGAGAGAGAGAGTTCAGAAAATGTTTTTGGCAATAGTATCTGTGTCTTTGATGAAGGGAAGGTTAGGCGTTTGACCCCAGAGCTCTGGGTTAGAGGTCAAACTATGACATCACTAAACAAAGGACAAAAGTCCAAGGAAATACCAGAGGAGAGCGCCATCTAGTGATATCTCAATGTAACTGCTATAAAATGGCAGGATGAGAGCGGGAGCAGAGTGTAAAGGACGTCAAGCTGCTTGCTTAGCAAGACCATATTGGTGCGAACTCAGGACCTCTGCCTTGCTAGCACATGTGATCACTCCTCTGAAGCGTTACACGAAAAGCTAGCTATTCGCTGGCGCAAGTGGGGACAGTTCAGGCTTAGTTGTAAGTTTCACACATCCCCATGTGCTACATTCACCCCTCAAACTTACTCAACTGCGACCCCAGCGTTGAGCTGAGCGCAACTGTAGATCCGGGTCACGGCACCACTGTAAAGGACATCACGCTACTTGCTTAGCGAGTACCACTTCCTCCAGATTTGGCCCATATCTAGCGTGAACTTGGGACATCTGCCTTGCTAGCACACATGACCACCCTCCTGAAGCATCTTACTAGTCGGCGCCACGCGAAAAGCAAGCTGGCAAGTTGTGACACTTCAGGCTGAGGAGTAAGTTTCACACATTCCCATGTGCTACAAGAGCAGTACCTATAAGCACCAGCAGATGGCAGCAGAATACGGCTTCTTTATGTATGATTTTATTTGATTTTATTGTGATCTCTTTTAGTCCTCATTTGGACTAACCTTCCAATTCATTATATTTAAATGGTTCTAAAGTATTGTTTGAATTTATATATTGAAAGGTTTCTGTTTTGCTCAGAAAAATTATTCAATTTCTTTATTGCTCTGAATCTAAATGTTATTTTTGCCTATTTCTCTTTTCTTCCATGATAACACATATAGTAGATGGTGGACAATATATTCCTAGTATTGATTAAATGTCTGTCTCTTACCAACTGAATACTGTTGTGAATGGGGTTTGGCCGTTTTAAATGGTGTACATTGTGAAATAAAATTATCTTGTTGATTGATGACCACCCAAGAGCATTGTGCATGATGTGCACAACTTTTGTGCACAACAAAATAATAATATCTCCACCTTAAAACAATCCTTGCTGCTTTGTTCTGTCCAATCAGCAGCCTCCTAATCTCACTTGCTGATGTATTTCCCCAGACCACAGATCAGTAGTTCACCTGTCTCCCAATTAATGCTTGAGTTGTTTACTTAAGAATCTTTCCCGGAAAATATTTAGCTATCCTTCTGATCATGCATGCAGTTATTATTATTACTTTTTTACATAGATTAGTTATTTGAGACGACCATGATAAGCAGTTGTCTAGCTGCACCCCTAGTAATTTTGTTTCTGCCACTTCCTCAATTTGTACTCCCCCATGCTTAATCGCATCCCATGTTGTGTTGGCCTTTTCCTGGTGGAACAGACCAACATAACCTTGATTTTCTTGGCGTTCAAAACAAGTTTGTTCCGGCAAACCCACTCCCTGATATTTCCCAGATCTACTTGTAAAGCTTGCTATACCTGTTGAACCGATTTTCTTGCTGTATAAATTGTAGTATCATCTGCAAATATAGTAGCTTGAGTTTCAGATTAGGTATAAGGAAGGTCATTGGTATATATCAAGTAAAGAAGTGGCCCAAGGCAGCTGCCCTGCGGTATTCCACAGTTTAAAGCATGAGGGGAAGAAAACGATCCATTGATATAGGTGGACTGTTTCCTGTCAGTTAGATATGACTGTACCCAATTCAATACTGCCTCCTTAAACCCATAATGCAATCATTTTGTCAAATTATTTCATGATCCACTAAATCAAATGCTGCACTGAAATCTAAAAATAGTACACCCACAAACCTGCCATTATCCATAGTATTGAGCGATTGGTCAGTCATGTCAACCAATGCAGTGGTAGTAGAAGGGTTTTTGCGATAAGCATGCTGATTGGCTGCGATCAGATCATTATTTTCCATGTGCTCTCATATTTGTCTACTCACAATACCCTCTAATATATTCGTGAGTGAAGGGAGTAGACTGATTGGTCGACTATTGGCAGGAGTAATGGGTTCTTTGCTGTCTTTCGGGGTTGGACACAGTTTAGCATACTTCCATACATTTGGCAATTGCCCCTTTTCCAGGGACCAATTAAATATGTATTTCAGTGAAGCTGCAATCTGGGGAGCAGATTGTCCATAAGATCATAACCTGTAGATTTAACATTGGGTAATGACTTCAATAGGTTTAACACCTCCTCTACTGACACCTATGGTAAACTAAAAAAAACAACGTTTTCTTGCTCATAATATGATCATCAATCCATTGGACAATAGCTTGTTGGAAGAATGGGTGTTTAGATTATCTCTCAGTAAATTAGTTTTCTTTGTAAAGAAATCTG